CAGACCGAGAAAAGCTTATTTAGCAACCGACGACGCAGCTTTTCTGACCGAAATACCAATGAAACGAGCGCTGGCCGGTGCTGAATCTCACCAGTGGATGTCAGCTATGGGAGAGGAAGTAAAATCGATCTTGTGCAAAAATACGTGGGACCTGGTGGAAAGGTCTGAAGCCAAGGAAATAGTCGGCAGTCGATTTATACTTCGCGAAAAATATGGCTCGAACGGTCAATTGGAAAGAAGAAAGGCGAGAATCATCGCCAAGGGATATACTCAAGAATACGGAAGAGACTACCATGAAACCTACGCACCAGTGGCCCGCCTCAGCTCCATCCGCACGATGATAGCGCTAGCAGCTCAGGAAGGGATGCTCATTCGTCAATACGACGTGACGACAGCGTATCTCAACGGGGAGCTGGAGGAGGAAGTTTATATGGAGGTGCCGAATGGAATAAAGGAAGTGCTCTCTTTCATCATCAACGAAACTAATACCGATCACGAACTCATCGAAAAAGCGAAGGAGGATTTAAACAAATTGGAAACCGGAGACAAGGTTTGTTTTATGAGGAAAGCTCTGTATGGGCTAAAGCAGGCCGGAAGGGCGTGGTATACACTTCTCGACAAAAAATTACGAGACCTGGGGATGGCCCCTACGAAAGCAGATGCTTGCGTGTACATCGATCACTCGAGCAACGAAGATCTGCTGATACTCATCGTATACGTCGATGACTTTCTGATTATGTGTCGAGATTCCAAGAAAATCGCGCGCTTCGAATCTGAATTGGGAAGCATCTTCGAGATCAACAGAATTCCAGGATTTAAACACTGTTTGGGAATGGATTTCAACAAAAGTGAACGAGGAATTCATGTCAGCCAGAAGACGTACATCACGGATGTTCTCAAGCGCTTCGGGATGGAAGGATGCAACCCTGTGTCCACTCCGCTGGAACCTGGAACGAAGCTGATCAAGGGGGATCCGTGGCCCGAATCTGACAAAAATAAACCCCCATATCGAGAATTGGTCGGATGCTTATTATACTTATCGATTGCGACCAGGCCCGATGTATCTCACGCCGCCAGTAAATTAAGCCAATTTAACGATTGCTTCAATGAAACTCACTGGGGTGCAGCCAAGAGAGTACTGAGATACCTTAGAGGTACTGACGATCTCGGAATCCTTTATAAACACTACAAGAAGGAAGTTGTAGGTCATGTGGACGCAGACTGGGCGGGATCTATCGACGACAGGCGATCATTCACTGGATTTGATTTCACAATGAGCGGCGGCGCTATTCTGTGGGACTCGAGGAAGCAACGGACCGTTGCGCTATCGACTACTGAAGCAGAGTACATGGCCTTGAGTGAGGCAGCCAAGGAAGCACTGCATCTAAGTCGATTTCTGAAGGAACTCGGACAGTCTAATTTGTCATCAATTAAGCTGTGCATTGACAATTTCAGCGCACAAAAGTTGGCAACGTTTCCTGCTTTTCATAACCGAACAAAGCATATCGATGTTCGGCATCATTTCGTGCGAGACGTTATCAAGTCAGGAGAGGTTCAATTGGAGCACATGTCATCCGAGGATATGCCTGCCGATATCCTTACCAAGGCGCTGACCAAACCAAAGCACCAACGATGCGTTCTTTCCCTGGGATTGGAAAGATCAGGACCTGGACCATTGGAGATTGTCTCAAGGGGAAGTGTTGAGAAACTGTGATCCAACCTCTAGCCTTCGGCGCTAGGTGGTGTCCGCGAGTGACTAGTTTTCTACACACTCACACATACACACATTCATTACGACCGTAGCGTCTTTTGTTCATTCAAGTGTTCTTGGCATTCTTTGTATTATTGTCTATTTTCTATTTCATGTTATTAAAGTTCTTTATATTAAATATACTCGGTTTTCTTTCTCACTTCGCCTGGATTTCGTCAACAGTGTGCAAAAGCATTACTTCCGACAAATCTGCTTTTATTCAAACTGAAATCGAAATCTATTCAGAGAGATGAAACTTTTGTGTGTGCAATCGCAAATCGACTTCTTTTTAGACGAGTCTGTATAGTATATATCTATAAGAATTGTGTGATAGGTGCGAGATTTATTACCGCGTGAAACATTACTCTCTCTCTCTTTCTCTCTCTCTCAAGTACACACCTTTTGCGAGCCCGATAATTTTTCTCTAATTGGAAAAATTTTACACTTGAAATATTGAAATTGAAATTTAATTTTTAAATTTATTTTTGCGAATATTGAGGAAATAATGTGATGAATGGAAGATGGGAATTTTTATGATAATTTTTATTTCTTCACCGCATCGGAAAACTTTGAGAAAAATTAATTTATTACTGGATAAATAATGAGTAAAATAAATATCGGCCTTGGATTGAATTTAGAAATAAAAAATAGTATTATAAGTGTTGTAAAATGTTGGTAGTAGTTGCAAATAGTGGCACATTATTTATTTGAATAATAATAATAAAAAAAACTAAAAACATCATTTTTTCTTGTCAAAATAAAAAAAAATTCAAATTTTTATTTATTCCTATTAGTAAATAAATATTTACTTGAATCAAATAATTTTTATTTAAATCAAATAATATTTTTAAATAAAATAATGAAATAGCTTCAAATATATTTAAATTATTGATTCAAATAATTATTGTTTCAAATTTATTTGATTTAATTAAAAATTATTTGATTCAAGTAAATATTTATTTCACACAATAGACAAGTAAGCGGTTATTAAGACTTTATTTTTCAAACCAAAATTTTCATAAGATTTCAAACATAAATTTAAGCGAGAGGTTTTTGCGCTTAATTCACAACATTTTTATTGTTTAGAATTTTTACAAAAATTAAAATAAAATATATAAGAATAAATAATTTTGTTAAGTATCTTTATTACTATTTGTTAATCAGATAAAAATAAAAGACTTTTATGAATGATGAAAATTTTTAATCTTGTCATCTACTTTAATTTTATTCTGATATCGTTAATAATAAAAAATTACAAAATAAATATAAAAATAGGTTTTATTTTTTTATAATTTTATTTATTTATTTTATTTACAAGATTGAATTTAAAATTTAAATATATTTTTTTTAATACATTAAAAAAAATTTATTTGATTCAATAAATTCAAATTATTTGAAAATATTTACTTGATTCGACTAATTTTTATTTGGATTTAAAAAATACATAATTGATTTAAATAACTTGAATTGTTATTTAAATTACATTGATTTGAACCAAATAGATCTTAATTGTATCAAGTACTATTAAATATACTATTTTATAAAAACAAATAAAAAATATTTAAATCAAGTAAATAATTTATTGAAACGAAAATAGTATGATATTTATTTATCAAATTGTTTTTAATTTAATTAACAATGATTCTTTTTCGAACAAAATTTTCTACACTAAGTTTCTTCTAATTTGATTTTCTTTTTCTCTACTTAAATTTTCTAGAAAATTTGAATTTTTTCTTTCAAATTTTCTCTTATTTGAGTATAATTAATATTTTATAAAATTATAATTTTTGTTTTAATTAAATTTTTCTTGGATTTTTTTAATAATTTTCCTCAAATTATAAATTTTTTATTAAATTTTCTTCTGATTTGATTTTTTTCTACTCGAATCTTTCACTATTTTTATGATAATTATTTTTAATTTAAGTAATTAACAGTAAAATTTTCCCTAAATAGAATTTTTCTAATAAATAATTATGCTTCATTTAAATTTCTTTTATTGAAGTAAAAATTTTCTGCTAACTTAGATTTTTTCTACTAAATTCCTTTTAATTCAAAAGTTTTACTATTCGTCAAAATATTTATAATTTAATTAATAATTAAATTTTTCGAGAATAAAATTTTCTACTGTTTTCTAATTTGGATTTCTTTGTTTTTGTTACGAAATTTTGTAAATTACAAAATTATTAAATTAAAAAATTGTTAAAAAAATTAAAAAATTGTTAAACAAATTAAAAATTATTTAAAAATAAAATTAATTAATAATAAATAATAAATTACATTAAAAATTATAATGTACTAAATCAGTACAAAATTTTTTCTTCTAAATTGTCTCTAATTCGAATATTATCATCATTATCACTAATGTGTTTCAGTTGAAATTACCTATATATTTGTATGCATAGTCTATTGTATAGTGAAAGTCGAAAATTTATTTTTTCAAAAAATTTTTTCATATTTTTCATTTTCTATATTATCCTCTTTTGAAGATAAATTTTCACATCAAGAAAACGTGTGATTTTCCAAGAAATTTTATCAGTAATTTTCTATTTTTTTTTCTATAGTCTCTTGTACAATTATTTCACTTCTTTTGTGGAATTTTTATTTGTTTTTTTTCTATTTTAACATTATTTTATGGTATGTTGCTTTCACGGTATGTGAGTGAAATTTTCAGGCGTTTAATCAAGGAACGCGTTTCATTAAAAATTTGTAATTAATTTTTAATTAAAGCTAAAAAAAAGAAAGTATTTGAAAAAACAAAAATAATACAGCACTTTAAAACTGGTTATTGAATTTTAATTTTCAAATTTATTTATTTTTCATTTTTTTCCATATCGACGGCTTATATTGTGGGGAAAAAAATATTTGTAAAACTAACAGAAAAATATTTTTGAAAATATTTTCCTTTTTGTGATTTTTGTTGTAATAAAATTTTTAATAATTATTCATATATATATAATTGAGAAATGCAAGTGAAATTTAATAAATTGGAAACAAATTTTTTGCGATTAAAAAAATTGAAGGTAGAATTATTTTTATTTTATGACGAATTTGTAACTTTTGATAAAAATTGGGTTTAGAAGTGAATTCTAAATTTTTTTGTATAAATAATTGTTATAAATACAAATAGTAATAATTTTATTACAAAATAATAAGTAATAAATTAATAATATTAATAGTAAAAATTTAATTAGTAAAATTAACTAAAAAAAGAAAAAAAAGAAATGAAATCAATTTATTTTCTCTTTTGCAGACATGAATCTGTTTATTTTCCATGGCCTCATCCTGTTCGGATTCAGCATGATGATAATGCCGGAAACATTTGCATTTGAACAGACATGGTCTCAATCTCAATCTCAATCAATGCTCTTAATGGAACCAGAGATCCAAACGAAGAAATGCCGATACTTCAGAGACAAAACTATGCTTACATGCAACTGCCAAAGTCTTAATTTGGCCAAAATTCCATCCAATCTCGACAGAAACATTGAGGTAAATATTTATTTATTTACTTTAATTACTTTATTATTATATAAGAATACATACAAAAAATAAATTAGGATATTTATCTTCATCAAAATAAGACGATTTGATACTTTCACAAAAAAAAATAAAATTTAAAAACAAAACTTTTGTTTTTACTAAAATTTTCTTTTGCTTAAATAATTTATTTTTCTCTTCTAAATTTTCTACAATTCGAATTTTTTTTCATTAAATTTTTCATTAAATTATTTGTATTTCAATTAACATTAAAATTTTTCTCGAATTTTTAAAATAATTTTTCTCTAGTTTGAATTTTCTTTACCATTTTTCATCTAATGTAAATTTTTTCCAATAATTTATTCTCTAATTTGGACATTTGTAAATTAAATTTTCACGTTTTGTCAAATTATTTTTAACTTAAATTAACAATTAAATTTTTCCCAATTAAAATTTTCTATACTAAATTTTTTTGATTTTCTCTTTTCTTTACTAAATTTTCCATAAATTCGAGTTTCTTTTACTAAATTTTTTCCAACTCGAAATTTTCACTATTTTAGAATAATATTTTTCATTTAATGAACAATAAAATTTTCCCTGATTAATATTTTTTTTTAGTAAATTTTGCCTTTTTTGAATTTCTCTTTTTTTAAAAATTAAATTTTCCATTAGTTTGAATTTTTTCTTCTGAATTTGCTCCAAATCGAATGTTCGACATTTTATATCAAAATTAATTTTATTTCAATTAACGTTAAATATTTTTTTAATCAAAACTTGTTTATTAATTAATAATTCAATTAATTTTTTAATTCAATTAAACATTTGAATTTTTCCCTAATATTTTTCAGTTTGAATTTCTTTTTTTTTATTACTAAAAATTTACCACTAATTTTAATTTTAATTTCTAAATTTTTTCTAATGCAAATATTTGATAATAATTAAACGAATTATTTTTATGGTAATTAACTTTTAAAATTTACCTTAATTTTATTTTTCACTAAATTTTTTGCTAATTTGAATTTTTTTACATTATATTTAAAAAAAAAAAACTTTTACTAAATTTGTTTTACTCAATTTTTTTACAAATTCGAATAATTTTCGTCAAATTTTACACTATTTTTAATAATTTTCACTGAATTGTTCACAAATTTGAATTTGTACTATTTCTACTCTTTAGTTCGAATCCTTAATAAGGAGAAAAAAAATTTTTCCTTAATTAATTCTCTAATTTCCCTAAATAATTCTTTTAATCTCTCAATATTCATATTTTTAGTAATAATTATACATTATGCAATTAATAAATTTAAAAAATCTTTTTAAATTTATACACTCCAAAAAGTTTGAAAAAACTAAAAAGAAAATTAAAAATAAAGAATAAATATTTTCGTCAGATTTAAAAATTAATTATTATTTGTTTATAATTTATTTATTTACCTATTTATTATTTATTAATTTGAAATTATAAAGCCTAAAATTTTCTTGAAAAAATTCAAATTTTTATTTAAAGAAAAGAATAAACTTTGATACCTGAATATTTATTTTTTTAATCTCATTTATTTGAAATCATTTTAATCTTTTTTTTTTGTGAAAGAAAAAGTGCGATCACAGTATATTTCTCAATTAAATTTTTTTTGAATCAATTTCTTTTTATTTAAATGAAAGACAAATGTTTTGATAAATATTTATTTATTCATAAAAATTATTTCTAATAAAAATTATCCATTTTTTTAAATAAAGGAAAAATTTATTCTTCAACAATATTCAGTAAAATTTTTTTGAATTCTTTTTTTAATAATAATAATAATTATAAAATATAAATTTATTCCAATCGAGTAAAACATTCGAAATGAATTAAAACGAAAATTTTATTCTTTTCAGGTACTGGACTTCTCATTCAATAGATTGGTTACAATAAATAAAGACACATTCTCTCGATTCACGAGTCTCAAATACTTGGACTTACATGACAATTTCCTAAAAAAAATCGAAGACTCTGCATTTGATCCATTACAAGATTTGATGGTATTGGACTTATCGAATACATTATCGGAAAAACTGCCAAAGGGATTATTTAACTTACCACGTCTCGAGAAACTCTACATTGAAGAAAATGAACTGACAGAAGCAATTTTCAAATCAGAAGTCACATCACCATTGACAATAATTCAGGCGTCAAAAAATTCTATTAAAAAATTCCCCAATTTTGGACCATTGCCGACATTAATATATTTTAATATATCAGAGAATCATATAGAAAAAATCAATATCAACGACATTGCATCATATTGTAAATTAAAGACACTCGATCTATCAAAGAATCCAATTTCCTTCGACGACAATACCTGTGATTGTCAATATTTTAATTCTTGGATAAAGCATCATAATATAACTGTTCGTCCAAATTTTCAATGTTCAACTAAATTGCATTGCATGGAAAAATTCACTAACGAAACACTATCACTCTATCAAGAGTGTGAGGAAATAATCAAGGAGAAAATAAAAAGCGAAAAAGCAAAATCAACATGGATATTGGTATTAAGTTGTGTTAGTGGTTCATTACTCTGTATTTTCTTTATTCTCTATTGCATTCACAGGAGAAATAAGAAACGTCATCGAAAATTAAAAAAAGCACAACAATTAGCAACGACTAATGCAAATACTGAACTTTTAAATGGTAATCAAGAACAGACGTGAATAAATTTTTTTTCTGAGTGAATTTTTCTTTTTTTTTTCTTCGAGAAAATAGTGACGAAAGATTTTTTTTTTTTTTTTTTGAGGGAGAAAATAAAAATGGGGGGTTTTTTTTGTCGAGGAAATAAATATAGTGACGAAGAGGTAGAAATTGGTGTGGATAAAAAATTCTTCGTTTATCCCCCAAAAAAAAAGAAATTTTTCTTTTTTCTTGTCGTTTTTAAATCTAGTCACTTGGCGTCGTCTGTTTTCATTCAGTTTCAATCTAACTTCTAAGCAGGGAAACGAACTCATCTGTAAAGTGTATTCAGTAAATGTTACCATTAAACACTGTCGTGAAACTGCGCAACAGCTGTAAATAACTTTCTGTGATTTTATTTTCCGATGTAAATTCTCCAGTTTACGTTTTTTTTCTTCTTCTTTTTCTGCACTTGTGCCCACCCTTAAGGTTTTTATTTATTTGATTCTTTAATAGGCCACTTTTTCAATGATACATTCTTGTCATTTATTCGAATCCAGGAAAATCGATTTTTTTTTAAATTACTTTCTGTTTACGATAAATTTTCTCGTAATTTACTGGAAATTTTCAGTTCAAGATCATTTTTTCGTATAACTTACGAGAATATTTTCTTTTAAAATAATTTCCTCTTATTTTACGAGAAAATTTTCTCTCTAGACAAGTTTTTCGCAATTTATGTGAAAAAATTTTCTTTGAAGATAATTTCCTTTTAATTTAGGAGAAAAATTTTTCTCAACACTTTCTTGTAATATATCTGAAAAAATTTTGTTTCAAGATAATTTTTACTTAATTTACAAGAAAGTTTTCTTTCAAGACAATTTTTTCGCAATTTATGTGAAAAATTTTCGTTGAAGATAATTTTCTCTTAATTTATAAGAAAAATTTTTCTCAAAATAATTTTCTCTTAACTTACGAGAAAATTTTTTCGTAACTTTCGAGAATATTTTCTTTTAAGACAATTTCCTCTTAATTTAAGAGAAAATTTTCTGTAAAGACAATTTTTTTTCAATTTATGTGAAAAATTTTCGTTGAAAATAATTTCCTTTTAATGTAAGAGAAAAATTTTTCTCAAAATAATTTTTTCGTAATTTGGAAGAAAATTTTCTTTCAAAATAATTTTCTCTTATCTTACGAGAAAATTTTTTTTGAAGATAATTTTTTCGTTACTTACGAGAATATTTTCTTTTAAGATAATTTCCTCTTAATTTACGAGAAAATTTTCTCTCAGGACAATTTTTTCGGAATTTATGTGAAAAAAAGTTTTTTTCAAGATAATTTCCTGTAAATTTACGAGAAAACTTTTTCTCAAAATAATTTTTTCATAATTTGCAAGGAAATTTTCTTTCAAAATAATTTCCTCTTAACTTATGAGAAAATTTTTTTTAATGACAATTTTTTCGTAATTTATGTGAAAAATTTTCTTTCAAGATACTTTCCTTTTAATTTAGGAGAATTATTTTTAATGACTAATTAAACTGGATGAATATTTTGCAAAAATTACTATTGTAATACTATACAATTATTACTACTTTAAGTTTCACTGAACCAACATTTATTTTCACAAATTTTTTCTACTTTTAATTTTTAATGAAAAAATTTGTTTGCCTGTTCGAAATTTTCAGTTTTTTTTTCTATTTACTAACAATATAGAATTAATTATTTATTATCGATGATTGGAATTAATATTTCAAAACTTTTATTTCAAATTCGCGAAAATTTTTTTTTTCAGAAACAAAATACATTTGTAAATGTTTTCTGTTCAAATGAAAAGATCAAGAAAAAATTGAAATCAGTAATGTTTACTCAGTTTGAATAAAACTTTCAAGTAAAAAATTAAAATAAGTTATAAAAATTCATTTGAAAAATGTGGAAAATTGGAAAAATGATTAATTAAAAAACAATTTTCCGTAGAGAAAAATTAATTTCTACATGTAACTTTCGAATAAATAATTTAAAGTTCGAAAATGTAAATTTTGGTTCAAAGAATTTTCCAAATATATGGAAAAAAAGAACCAAATTTTTAGTTTTTATTAATCCATGTTTTTGTATTTTTATTTTATTTTGTTATTATTTTTTGGATTACTTTCGCATGCAGTTTGCGAAGCAGCTATACACTTTATTTTTGTATTTGCGATTTAACTTTTCTAATGCGTTGCAAATTTTTGTACTTACTTACTTTTGATTCTGAGCGTGAAACCGCAGTTTCAAAAAGAAACTTTCTCGATCAAAGTTTGTAGATTGGTATATATAAAGAAATTTTTCTTTTTTATATATACGATTATGTGTAGAGGCTAAAAAGTTGAGGCTTTGTTTTTTTTAGTCAGAGGTCTTATATTTTTTTATGCCAAATAATGCCATATATTCTTTTTCTTAAGTATCGAATATAAAAAAAAAAAGATTCTAATGACTTAATAGAAATAATATTGTCGAGTAGCAATTATTATTTATAAAAATAGATGATAATTATTTTTTAGAAAAAACCGTCGCATTTAATTTTAATAACAAGAAAAGATCACGATATATATAAAAATTCAAAAAGGGTCAGATCTTTTTTCTTTTGGAAAATATACATTTTTTCTTTTCCTCATACACATTGTATGAAATAACTGATTGACTGATAACAAAAAATAAATAGCAATTTACAAATCTTTTTTAAATCGATGTAATACGAATATTTATAATATATATATATATACACACTGGGATTTGTGCAGAAAAAAACTTTATTAAAAAAAAACAAAAAAAAAACTTATTGTGGAGCTAAGAACAAAAAAAAAATTTGGAATTCTTTAGAATGTTTATATTTTTCTTACTGCAAACATTGTTCTACAATTTATAATGTTGCATTCCTAGCAGTTCAAAGTTAATTAATAAAAATCATTTTAGAGAAATGTATTTAGAACATGAGAAAAATGGAAAAAAAATATATATAAAATATATGTCGATATAAAAATAAAATCGAAAGATTTTTTTCACGCACATTTAATATACCATAAAATTGTATGTATGTAAATTGTGCGTGTGTAATTGATGCGTGTGCACGTGTGAAAAAAAAGTAATCAATGTTTCGAAAGAAAATTTATCTAAAAGATTCTATTGATTATTATCGTATAATATATGAAAAAAAGAATAAAATAAAGATTTATTATATAATTATAAATTATACACTACTTACCAAAATGTAATCGACGTTTCTCAAAAAAAAAAAACACGTGTTCAAGCCTCTCCATATTTTATAACGTTCGTGTCTATGCACTCATTGTCATTTTGTAAATATTATGGTGTCAAAATCGACGTTCTAAAATATACATACTGTTACGATTAAATAAATAAATATTTATAATGAATACGAATATTTGATTTTCATTTTTTTTTATTTAATTTTACCCACCTTTTACCTTTTAATCAATTATTTATTTTTACTACTTGTTTTTTCTATTTTTAGTAATTTTTTTATTCATTATAGTTATTTTTGTTTGTTTTCTGTTTCCTAATTTTTTTTGATAATTTTTCTTTTTAATATTTTAAATTTTTAAATTAATTAAATTCTACTTTAATGTTTTGATGATTAAAAAATACCAAAAATTAATTAAACCAAATTTTTTTCAATTAAAAATATTTCTTTCATATATTTGAATCTGAAATATTAATTGAATTCGAATCGAAGACAATCAATTTTATTTAATTAATTTAGTTTTTATTTATGATAAATTTTCTCGGAATTTACTAGAATTTTTCAGTTCAAGATCATTTTTTCGTATTTAATTTCCTTATAATTTATGAGGAAATTTTCTTTCAAGATAATTTCCTCTTAATTTAGGAGAAAATTTTCTTCCAAGACAATTTTTTCGTAATTTTTTTTTAATATTCAAATGAATTAAATTGATTATTTTATTATTAAAAAATAAAATACAAAAAAAGGAAACGAATTCATATTCAAAATTTTCTCCGCGCTTTTAACGATCGATTAGCTCTCGAATTCTCGACTATTGCTTAACGTCAGATGTGTCAGATTCTTAAGGACTGCGCTGTCATTTTGGAGTTTTGTTGTTATTGTTTTCTTTTTTTAATTTTGTTCATTGAACATGAAGCCGACGAACAAAGAAGTTCCAGAATCTCCCCTGGTTTTTAAAACTATTCCCCATTTTTGATTAAAACAGTTTTAAGTCTCAATATTTAATTATAAAAATTAAATTACAATATCTATTTAAAAAAAAGTGGAAATATTTGCATTCCTAACCTTTAAAAAGTGCAACATTTATATACCTATAGTATATATGAAAAGTGTATATAATTAATGTGTTCTTTATTACTCGCAATCCTCGCAATGAATTTATAATACCAGATGGTTATCGTAATTCTTGGATTTCACTTGTGCTTATTATTATTGTGACGTTTTTACAATATTCCTATAGAACATTTGCAAAGTGATCATGATTGAAGAAGGTTCAAAATAAAAGAATTTCGAATTTTTCTCATTATTATAAATACTTTAATCGAATTTAATTTTTTAAAAAGCAAAGACTGAATATTAACGTTTGTAGGAAGGATGTCACGTGCTGATTTAAAAAATTGGCCAATTTTCAGTCTTTTGGATTCGAAATTCATTGCTAAAATTCATATGGCCGTTGTTTATGGTTTGTATATATTTGTTTATAATATTATAATTATTTCAAAGTTTGTTTTTTGGTATTTTATTATTTATTGAGTTTCGAATTTTAATATTTTCGTTATTAAATATTGAATTTTGTTGATAATATTTTTTATTATTGTGTTTATTTTAGAAAAGAAAATTTTTGCATAAAAATATTTTATTAATTTAATAATTAAATAGTGCAATAATTAATAATGAATTGATAATTAAAAATAGTTAATTATTAATCGAACTTAAAGGTACTTTTATTGAATAATTAAAGTATTTAATTATTAAATTTAAATTCAGAGTCTTAACTAAATTTTCTTAATTTAATTTCGTAATATTGATTATAAAAGTTGTGGAATTATTTTCCTTTTTTTTGCAGGAAGTTTAGGAAATGAAGCACTTATTGTTACGAAGGAGGGTTCTGTCTACGGTTTGGGAACAAATGTCTCGGGCTGCTTAGGAACAGGTGATGTGCACAATACTCTATTTCCAAAAAAAATTGATGCACTTTGCGATAAGGGAATAAAATATTTTACATATGGTAGTGGACCTCATGTCCTTGCTCTCAGCAATAAAGGTGAAGTAAGTAAATTCGTTTTTTCTGTATTTAATTATTTTTCTATTTACCATTATTTTTTTCATTATGCAGTAAAATTTTATTATTTTATTATTATTAAATAAGAAGAAGAATCCTTTTCTTTAGTAATAAACATCAGAATATATTTTTATTTTAATTTAAATTACATCAAAGTTTATTTTAATTTATGATAACAATAGAGTTTATTTTATTTTTTTATTTATTATTTTATTTATTTATTTGCAATAGTTTAATTTTATTTCAATTATAAATTAAATTAAATAAATAATAAAATAAATTTAATGCAGGAAAGTCCTTGAAAATTTTTGAGACTCATTTCAAAAGAATTCAATCAGTAATCTATAGCACTAATTATTAATAAATTTTATGATAACGCACTAAAAATAGGGAAATAACTTTACTTTCGAATATGCCTGTATTTTATTTCAATTGTTTTTTAATGTCTTTGTGTTTCCTAATGACTGTGTTTAAAAACATTTTTAATGTGAAGAATTCAAGGTTGAAATTTACAAATAATAACGTTTTTAATAATAATATTCAATAAATTTTTTTCAAAAAATCCTGTATTTCAGTGTTTTAATAATAATTTTTATTATTTTTAAATTCTCCATTTAATAATTGTTAATATTGTTTTTCTATTTTTTAAAATCTTTTCACAACTTTTGTAGAACAAAATTTAAAAGTTATTTGTTAAATTTATAAAATTTGTAAAAGTAATTTGAATGTTAAATTATTTGTTAAATTTCTTAAATTTCTAATGTGAATATTAAATTCAAAAGTAAATTATCAAAATTTGCGCACATTTAACGCATATAAAATTTTTTAAAGGTTTATTCGTGGGGTCACAATGGATACAGTGAATTGGGAAATGGATCCTCAAATCAAGGATTGACACCAACAATTATATCGACAATTTTATCGGAAAAACTTATTGTCAGCATTGCCTGCGGTAGTCATCATTCACTTGCACTCACAAATGAAGGCGAGGTGAGAAAAAAACAATTTAATTTGTTTTTCTTTTTTTTATATATAAAAAACTATAGAAATGTCTAATAAATATTGAAATATAATAATCATGAAAATACTGAAATTTAATTAAAAAAAATTTTACTCATCAAGGTTTTTGCATGGGGACAAAATAATTGTGGACAAGTTGGTAGTGGAATGAATTCCAATCAAGGCGCTCCACGAAAAGTGAATTCAATTTTATCTGAAAAAAAAGTGATATCCATCACTTGTGGACAAACGTCGAGTATTGCATTAACTGACGTTGGTGAAGTTTACGGTTGGGGTTATAATGGCGTTGGACAGCTCGGTATTGGAAATTATATTAATCAATCGTGTCCATGTCGCGTTAGTCATCTTGTTGGAGTTGTTATTGGTAATGAATTCATTTTTCTTCATATGTGTGTAATTTTAATTTATAATTGGAAAATTTATACATTTTGGAAATTTATTTCCATTTATTTATATTTATTTTACACATTTCCCCGCGGTCCTTTATTGGTATATTGATACTAGATATTATATATTTATTTATTGAACTATTTTAATTACAATTTTATCCCGCAGTTCTCAAAAAGGATAATTTAATTAGTTTGAAAAAGTTTTAATTAACTTTTTTTCATTTTAGAAAAAGTTGTTTGCGGATACTCGCATACGCTGGCTCTTAGTGACGAAGGGACGCTTTATTCCTGGGGAGGAAATTCTTATGGACAATTGGGTCTTGGAAATAAGGCGAATTCTTGTTCGCCTGTTAAAGTAGGTTTATTAATTGATTTTCAATTATTGATTACATTAACAATTGCCATTCAGAAAATGTTTCTAAATTTTAACGAAGAAAAATAATCCACAAAAATGAGCAGGGTTGCCACGGGTCAGGGAATTCAGGGAAAAGTCAGGGATTTTTATTAAAGTACTGGAAAAAATTTAATTTATAGAATTCATAAGAAAACTCTGGATTTTTTGTGTCGTTTTTCTTTGCCTCATAAACTATGAAACTACCACGAATTTTAATACAAAACCTTCAACATTTTTTTCTAATTCTGACCAGAATGAATTTTTTTAATATTATTTAATTATTTCAAAAGTTTTAATGCAATTATCTTGATAAATAACAAAATTCTTTACAAAAATTGAATTATTTTTAAGAATTTAAAAAAAAAATTCTTTACAAAATTCGATTATTTTCATAAATAACAATATTCATCGCAAGAATTCAATTATTTTCAAAACTAATAAAATTCTTCGAAGAAATTTAATTATTTTTAACAATTTGAACGAATATCTCGTTAAACATTTAATTATCTTTATGAATAGCCAAAATTTTTCGCCAAAAATTCAATTATTTTCAAAAATTTAAATAAAATTCTTTGCAAAATTTCAATTATTTTCAAAAGTTTCAAATGATTTTCAATATTTACTATTTTCATAAAATTTATCAAATAATTTAATTATTGAAAAAAATTATTGTTACAATTCTACGTAAACATTCAATTATTTTCATAAATGATAAAATTTCATTTAGGAATTCAATTATTTTCATCGCAAAATTTCCAATATTTTTAATACAATTTTAAATATATTTAAAATTTAAATAAATTTAAATTTAAGAAACATTCCATTATTCAATAAAATAATAAAATTCGTTGCAATTATTCAATTTATTTTCATAAATAACTTTTCATTCGTCACAGAAAATTAATTATTTTCAGAAATTTTTAAGTAATTCTGCAAAAGAATTCAATTATCTTGATGAACAACAAAGTTTTCCACATAAAATCAATTATTTTAAGGAATTTTAAAAAAATTCTTTTCCAAAATTCAATTATTTCGATACATATATCAAAATTTATCATAAGAATTCGATTCTTTTGAAAACTATAATAAAATACTTTTCGAAAATAAAATTATTTAAAAATTTTTTTTAAAATTTCCGTTTAAAATTAAATTACCTTTTTTATAAATAAATAGCGAAAATCTTCTCAAGAATTAAATTATTGTCAAAAATTTTAATAATATTCTTGACAAAATTTCAATTATTTAAACGAAATTTAATCAAAATTCTTCGCATAAATTCAATTATTTTCATGAATTATTATTTAAATTCTTCTCAGGAATTCAATTGTTTTAAAAAATTTTAATAAAATTCAAAAAGTTTTCGATTATTTTCAAAAATAGTTATAAAATTCTTTAATATGATAAATTTCAGTAAAATTTTAATTAAATTCCTTAAAAGAAATTAATTATTTTCAAAAGTTGTTAATGAAATTCTTTGTAAAAATTAAATTCTAAGAAACATTCAATTATTGAATAAATTATTTATTTTTGTATTTAAATAATTGAATTCTCGTAGAATTTTCTAATAAAAATTGCTTTAAAAATGAATAATTTCAGTTAAAGTTTTAGATAATAATTAAATATTAAGAGCATTAGGGGGGAATATTTAGAAATAATTGAATTTTGAAAAGGTTTCGAATTCAAATCTTTGAAAATCAGAATTTTTTTTACTCTTAACTAACAATTCGGCGTAGAATTAATTTTATTTTATTATTAATTCACTGGATTATCTTTAATTATTATAAAAACTTGAAGAAATCGATTACTCCGAGTCGAAGACTCGGAGCGATCCATTTCTTCATGTTTTATAATAAATATTCTTATAAGTTATTGAATTTCAAAACATTTTGAATTTAATATTTTTGAAAATCTTAACTCCAGTGGAAAAATAACTATGATTAAATATTTATTTAAAAAATAAGTTGTTGATGTTTTTGAATAATTTTACAATTAAAGAAATTCGTTAATAAATTTATTGGACCTTTTTTTAAGCATCTAATCATTTTTAGAGTGAATCAGAATATTCTTTTCTGCATCAGGGAAAAAGTTAAAATTTTGTCTGGAAATCAGGGAAAAACTAAACTAAATTTTTGTGGCAACCTTGATAAGATTCTTAATTGATAAATAATTATAATATTTAAAGAGAAAGAAATGGGAATCAATATTTTTCTTAATTTCTAGATTACATTGCCAGAAATGGGGAGAGTTTCTGATATTGCCGCATTGCATTATAATCATATCAGTGTCGCTGTCGGTCAAGGTGGGCGAATTTTTATGTGGGGTCAATGTCGAGGACAAAGTGTTACGACTCCGGTTGCCACATACTTGCCACATATTCACGATGCTCTCGCTTGCTATGCAACCCCGAGTGTGATGCATGAGCCTCTTGTTTTAAATGCCGACGAGGACAGCGGAATTCTCGAATGCTTGAAACAGGCTTTCGATGATCCGGTAAAGACAATTCCGATTTTTTTTTCTTTTCATTTTATTTTTCTTCTGATTTATTAGAAATTTAAAAAGTAAACTAAGAAAAGGTTTTTTAATAAAGAAAATTAAAAAAATAGAATAAAAAGAAAGAATAAAGAAAATATATAGATATTCACCTTTATATTTTCTTTATTCTACTTTTTTTCTTTCGATGGTTAATATTTTTTTATAACCCATTACAGTTTTTTTTCTAAATTCTTTAATATTTTTGTAATTAAAAAGTAACATTAATTATTGTGAAAATTTTCAGGCGACAAGCGATCTGACGATTCAGGTGCAAGGAAAGTCAATTCACGTTCACAAGTCTGTTCTTAAAATTCGTTGTCAGTATTTTAGATCAATGTTCCAAGAACATTGGACTGAGAACAATCAAAAGTACGTATAATTATTTTTTTTACTGAAATTTTTAAATCATGTCTTCTGTATATTAGTACTAATTAATAATAAAAACAAATCAATTTCTTATAGTTCTAAATTTCATTCATTCGTTCTTATAAATTAATTCACTAATTTATTATAATTACAAAATTTCTACAAAAATTCTAAATTCTATAATTACAAAATATTGTAATTATAATAAGTGAGTTAATTGTAAGAATAAATGAATAAAATATCAAATTAATTAAAATTGCAGTAAAAAATAATGTTCCTTTATATTCTTCATTTCAGTACTTTGGAGCACGATCAATTTTCTTATGAAGTTTATAGATCATTTTTAAAGTATTTGTACACGGATGAAGTCGATTTACCAGCCGAAAATGCACTGGGTATTTTTATTTTTTTTTAAATTGAATTTACAATATTTTATTTTTTATTGAACATAGAAAAATTTATTTTTTATTGAACTTAGAAAAATCTAAGTTCTATTTTCGTTTTTATTTTTTTACTAAAGACAATTTTTCTTTTTAATTTTGCAGAACTCTTGGAATTGGCGAATGCATATTTTGAAACACAACTCAAACGACGTTGCGTTCAGATAATTAAGCAGGGAATCACTGTAATGAACGTTGCATTTCTCTACAAAACCGCGATCGAATACAATGCCAAGGTAAGAATTTTTATTTTAATTATACTCAAAAATTTTCTATTTTATTTCATTCTTTTCTGTATAATTTATAATTAGGAATTAATTAATTATTCATAATTAACTCTTAATTGAGAATTCATGATATATTTTTTACTTTCAAAGTATTCTTTACTTTCAAAATATTTTTTACTTTTAAAGTATTTTTCACTTTCAAAGTATTCTTTACTTTCAAAATATTTTTTACTTTTAAAGTATTTTTTATTTTGAAAGTATTTTATACTTTCAAAATATTTTTTACTTTTAAAGTATTTTTTATTTTAAAAGTATTTTCTACTTTCAAAGTATATTTCACTTTCAAATGATTATAAACTTTTGGACATTCAAATGAATGACGAATATTTTTTACTTTTTTAAATATGTATTTCTTTTATAAAAAAAATAATTTTCTTTATTAAAACCATTTTTGAATAAGTAAATGTTTAATTTTAATTATTATTCTTTTTGCATAGTGATTTTTAAAAATATTTCAACAGAAAAAAATTTCGTTCATTTGAATGTATTCAACACTTGGAGAAAATATTTTCAAAGTATTATTTACTTTCATAGTAAATTGTTTCATTTAGTAAAAATTCCACTTTACGTATTGTTTAAAAACGTATAAAGAAAAATTCAAGAATTTTCAAGAATCACGTTTTCTTTGACATCTAAACATACAGTCATTTTTATTATATAATTAGTATTAGTATCATAATAAATTAGAAATTACATTAAAATTTTTAATATAAATATATCAAATTTTAGAATATTATCAAATTTTATACGAATAGAGTAAAATATTATATTACTATCATCATTAGTATTAATTAATTCGATAAAGTTTAGAAAAATTATTCAACTTTATTTATAGATGACAGAATTTTTTTGACACTGACGAAGATATTAATATTGCCTTTAAAAAAATTGGTACGTTAATTATTATGACTTTTAAAATCAAAATTAGTCTTATAAATACTTATTTTCTCGTATTAAATACTCATTAATTTTTTTTATATGTTTTTAAACAAAATTAAAAGATAAATTAGAAAATAAATCCAATATAAATGTTTGTTAAATGTAAATTTTTCAAAAAATTTAACTTATTAGTTGAAATTAAACTTTTTTAAAAATTTTTCTTAGTTTTTTGTTTCTTTTGTACTAAATTCGCTAATGGAATAGTGATAAAACTTTTAAAGCAGATTACTATTTGTTCCTTTGTTGCAGGAATTAGAAGACTTTTGCTTCAAATTCGCTTTGAATCATATGACAGCAGTTGTTCAAACGCCACAATTTTCGAAATTAGATGAAGCCACGGTTAAAACATTTATTATTAAGGCTGCTCAGGCCGCAGCGTTCAAAACTTAACTACTTATTTGTGATAAAATGTAGTCTAGTCAGTTAAACTATATATAGGTCGTCCACGAAAGAGAAAAAGGAGAGATAATTTTTAATTATTTTCATCAAAATTTTTGTTTTAAAAAAAAAAAACTCTTGTTATTTAGTCATTGTTGATATTATTTTTTTCTAATGTTGAAAATTAATTTTTTTCGGGCTGATTTTGAACGCATTTAAATAATTATCTAGTGAGATTTAAGTCTGAGAAATTGAAAATTAATGAAATGATTGATTATTTGGTATTTTTTATACTGTCAGTGATAGATTTTTTCAATTTCTAGAAATTCTTATTTTGTTAAGAAGTATTTAATTCGTAGCTAACTACGAATTTCATTCCTTTTTTGTTAAAATGTCCAGTTGGACTTTTTTTCTATTTTGCGATCGAATTATATTATCTAAGGTATATTCTAAGGTATATTGCAAATAAAGTTTATGAAAATTTCGTAAATATTGTGTTTGCTTCGTAAATATTGCAAATTTTTTACAATATTTATTTATTTTAAGGATCAATGGGCCTTTGTTTAATTAACACCTTTTTGTTTAAATTGTAGACTAATTTTAGATCATTGATAGTGAATTCGAATAAATCAGGTAATTATTAGGAGATTAATTTCATAAGCAGTGATTAATTATTTTTTATCCTTTCAGTTGGAAAATGCTTGAATTCGATCAACTCCGGAGGGGAATTTTTTTAAAATATAGGCCGAAGACAAAAGGAAGAGAAAATAATTTTTCAGAGAGGAAAAATACTAACGAAGGAACTGGGATTATCGACATTTTTTTGAAGAATTCGGAGACTGGAACAAAATTTCGGTAAATTTCTATCTACTATTTATAGAGGAAAAATAATTTTTTTTCGAAAAATAATTTTCATCTTTAGTAATTTACATTTTTTTTCAGAAACTTACGCTCTTGCTGAAATAGAAAAAATCTCGCCTTGATTTCTAAATTAGAAAAAAAAATGGGATTTGAGATTTTTAAAGTGATGAATTTTTTCATGCGATGTAAGATACTATTAAAAGAAGAAGAAAAAGATGAGAAAAAAAAGAGAGACAAACTGATGGAGATCTCGATTTTCTTTGACGTCTCGTTTGTCCACAGTCTGCGGGGAAATCAGATTCCGATATCTTTGAAATACAAGGAAATGATTCGAGGCGAGGTACACACACACACACACACACACACACACACACATATATATATATATATTTTTTTTCTGCACAAAGATTGAGAAAAACGAATTTAAAAAAGAACATATAATTTAAAATGAATTCTTCACTAGAATTCATTTCTTCACTAGAATCAGGAAACGAAAGCTTACGATTTGTTTAAAAATTTCCTTTTAATTCAAATTCGAAATTTTTGGCGAATTTTTATTTTATTCATTACTTATTTTATTATTTTAGTTTTCTAATAATTTTTGTTGTTTTATTTTTCTAACTATTTTTTGGTATTTTTATTTTTTTTAATATTTTCTTTAGTTTCAATTTTGTAATATTTTTTTATATTTTTATTTTTTATATACTTTTTTTACAGTTTTTTTTATTTATTTAAATAGTTTTTATTCAATTTAAACCAATCAATTGATTTAATAAAATTAAATTTCATTAATAAAGTAATAAAAAGTTTGTGAACGTAGTGAAATCAGCTTTCTACACAATGAACTGTTGGGCAATTAATAAAATTGTAACAATTAAAATTCATTTACAAAACTCGCGATCTCTCTGTTTAATAATTTTGGTTCGTTCTCGAGTTTAACCACGAGCGCTAATTGTTATTTGGCTATCTCGTTTCGATGTCTGCCAATTTGTGGTAGATTTCTAATTGTCACAATCTGTTAATGTGCATTGTACGCCCACAGAGGTTTCGATGGTTTCGATTCATGTTAATGTTGTGTATTTGCATCAATCGATTAAGCAATCATTAACATTCAAATTTTTTTTTTTTTTCTCAAAAATATCAAAAAATTTTCCAAATTTCTCTTTTGGTGACAAAAAAAAATTCTTTCGAAGTGGTTTCAAGCAAGAATTTTTTAAGTCACATTAAATAATATTATTTGTGATTTAAAAATTTCACATCTGAAAAAATATTTTCAAGTTAATATTCTCTTTTCGAAAAACCTTTTGAAAGAAGAAAATTATTAGTAATTAATTTTTCTTTTAGTAACTCATTACGAAAAATCCTCTGCTATTCCGTCAAGGGATCAAGATTAAGAGAAGAAAGCGAAATGAGAGAAAGAAAAGGAATGTGTAAAGTTCATTAAAGAAAAATCTGAAGATGACAGGTGAAAACGTGCACTTTACGAGGGCAATAATTGAGAAAAGAATAGAGGTGAAATTATTGCAAGACAAAAAGAAAATAATAATAAGTGAAAAGAGACATTGTCGTCATCCCCCGATGTCGAGATATATTACTGTCTTTTTTTTCTCATAAGAGAAGAAAAAGAATTTGAAGAAACATCAATGGAGAGAAAAAGAGGAAAAAAGTGAGTGAGAGAGAGAAGAGATGGAGAGATCGAAAACTGGAAATGTCAGTGAAAAGTGGAAGGGGGATAATATCCACTCTGTCACTTGAATAGCTTCAGGATATGAAATAAAAATCAATAGAAAGAATCGCTTGCCTAGAAATGTTCGCCATATTTCGTTTTCTTTTCTACACAACTACTTCAACATTCTCTTTTGATAACAAATGAGGTATTTTTTTCTATTAATAAAAAATGAGCGAGACATTTTTTTTGAGTTTCGATAATACAATGACGTTTTTTTTGAAGTTTAAAGAAATACAAGAAATTTTCCAATGCGTTAAAATATTGTCTTTTACTCTTCAATTTTTTTTGACGAAATTTTCCTTTTTTTAAAAATTGAAAACTAACATTTTAAAATAAGAATTTTTTAAGTTGTTCTTTTTAAATCTAAGGAATTTGAATATTATTAAAAAGAGAACTTTTCTTTTGAAAAATCTTTGGAAAACAAGATTTTTTTAAAAAGATTTTTTTTAAACAGGTTTGCCTCAAAAATTCGATTTTGTTTTTCCCTGATTTTCAAACAAAATTATGATTTTTTTAGTTAAATACTTAATCATTACTATGATTTTCCAAAGGAAATAAGATTTTCAAAAATTTCAACTTTATTTTCTCTATAAATATTTTTATAATTTCAATTCAATTATTTTTTAGAATTTATAACTAAAATTCTTCTCTATGTCAATTATGTTTAATAATTTTTGAGAAAGTTCTTTGAGAATTCAATTATTTCAAACAAAACAAGTTGTAAATCCAGATGTTCATTACATGAACATTTTGCTTCCTCTTTACGATCAGCAAAAAAAATTTGCTTCCTCGTGGAGGAAGCATTAACGATAAATATATATTCCATTTTTAAATCATTTTTAATACAATTTAACATTTATAAAATAAAGTGCTTAATAGAAAGAATAAAATTTTCTTATATCGTAATATGAATCTAAATAAACAAAAAAATGTTTAGTAAAAAAGTGAATTTTTCAAATTTGTAATTAATATTTATATATTTGTATATTTGTAATTAATTCTATAATTTTCAATAGAATATATACTTTATATAACTAACTTCTTCAGAATTTTTTTTTATATTTAAAATTCAATTTTTTCTAAAATTTTAATTTGTAAATTTTCGAAATGTAATTATTTATAAAAATTGCTACAGTAACTATTCTAAAATAATTTCCATAATTTAAAATCAATTATTTATTTATTTTTTATAATTTTTAACTAGAAATCTTTAAGTCAATTTTTTAAAAATAATTTTTGAGAAAGTTCTTTGAGAATTCAATTATTCAATAAAAAAAAAGAGAAAGTTTACCTAAAATAATTCTAAAATCCACTTGTTTACAATTCAATTTTTCAAAATTTTAATTATACGACAATTTTTCAATTAAATATGTACATTTAAAAATGCAATTAATTTAAAAAACTTTAAATAATAGCTTTTCAAAAACTAAATTTTTTAGAATTTTCAATTAAATTTATTTAAAATTCAGATTTTCTAAAATTTAAATTTGAAACCGTTTGAAATTCAATTTCATATTCTCTAAAGTTCAATTATTATCAGAAATAAAAGAAATTTTAAGTTTTGTACTAAAATTCGTAGTGATTTCAAAAATTTTTAAAAGGCAAACAAAAAGAAATTCAAGGAAAATTAAATCTTTTTAATACTTTCAAAGGTCACTGAACACAAAAATTTAGAATCTTTTTTATGAATTCTAGAAATTTAATGTTTTCTAGCTCCTTTGATAAAACTCCCTAACTTTTTCCCGTTTTCTCTGAATTTTCTGATTTCCCTGACCTGTGGCAATCCTGTCAAAAGGAAAATTAAAATGTAAAATTTCTGAATAAATATTTTATCTCAATTCAAATAGAGACTTTTTTGTCATTACTTTTTATATCTCTTTGTAGAAAAGATTAAAAAAAAATATTTTATTCTAATTAAAAAATTGTAAGTAAAAATTAGAAATAAAAAGAAATTACTAGTTAAAAATAGAAATAATAGAAAAAAACTAAAGAGAAAAAAGAAGTAATAGAAAGAATAGAAGTGAAACAAAGTAGTAAAAAAATTGAATAGAAGAGAAAGAAGTAGAAGAAAAAAATTAAATAAAAAAGAGAGAAGTAATAAAAAAAATTGAGCAGAAAAGAAAGAAGTAATAGAAATAAAACAGAAATAATAGAAAAAAAATTGAAATTGAAAGAATTTGAATTGAAAGAAATTGAAATGAGGAACAAAAAATAAAATAGAAATAATGAAGAAAGAATTGACCAGAAAGGAAAGAAGTAATAGAAATAAAACAGAAATAATAGAAAAAATTAAAAGAAATTGAAATAAAAATAAAAAATAAGATAGAAATAATAAAAAATAGAAATAAAATAGAAATAATGAAAAAATGGAATTAAATTCAAATAATAATACGTTAATAATTGCAATAATAGTAAAAATAAGAAACGAAAAAATAGTGAAAATAAGAAATAAAAGAAAAAATAGTGTCAATAATACCGATAGCACACTATATATTAATAATAATCATTATATTTAATTTAATCATAATATTAATCATAATATTACAGTATATCGTTTAACGCTAGGTATCAATTTTGCACCATGTTAAAGATATGTCTGAGAAAGTATGCTTACATAACA